AACCTGCCGCGTCAGCAGGTAAATAAACTGGCCAGGCCCGCTAGGGTGCTTACCCTGGCGAGCCGCGTGCCGAACGTTGCCGACCCCTGGTCTACATAGACAGTTAGTCTGCAGCAGGCTAGTGCAGGGTAGATTCCCACCCAATCTTGCCACAAATTAAATGTTCATGTAGACAAGCCCTTAGTGACGTTTATTCAGATATTTCTGTTTGAGTCATCAAGGGATTGCATTTGCCCTTTAACTTGTAGAAACTGTTTGATGTTATACGTTTCCATGGTTGAAATAGTTATCAAAAGCAAGCATCCTACAGGTCTGTACTCTGCCACCTTTCCCCACGTTAAGTAGTACCTTACTCCATGAAACTACTCATGGAAAAAGGTACAACCTGAGTATGAGTAAAGGTGACAGAATACAACCCTTAATCTCATCAAGTGGTTCATCCCAGCAAATTATTTTAGCCACTTGAATATTTTATCCAGATTATGGCTAATTCTGCACTTTTAAGGATTAGAATTTTTTTGCTGCTTCAAAGAAATTATGTTCTGATCTCATATTGAAAGTGCTACTCTAAAATCGGATGTCCAGTGACTCATCCCTCATCGGTATACTGTACAGTAAAATCAGAGATTGTGATGACTCTTACGCATGGTAATTAAATTCCACACCAATTTTGCATTGAAACCCCAGAGCCTTCTGCCATCTTAATCATATCATCTTGACCATATCTGCTGTTCATGAACTGGCAGTTTGCTGATTTGTGAGAAGAGGGATAATCTTCTTTCCTTCTTAGCAATCTTCCTAGGTGTTTATACTTTATACTCTTTTTTTTTTTTTTTTTTTTTTAGTCATGTGTTCATATGTGTATATTATGTGTGGCTCATTAGGAATGGATATTGGAGATTATATGGTATGTCTCACCTATTATATATTGCCTTAGTTATATTGGCTTCCGGTAAATACCTACCCTTACTTTAAGGTATTTATAGTATGTATTACCTGGTTTTGTATATGTTCATGACATAGTTGCATTTAATGCTTTTTATTGTATTTTATGCACAGCTTTTCAAAAAAATGAACTGCGGGTAAAGAGAACACATCTTGCTAAAGCTGCAGGTATAAAGTATGAAAATAAAAAAGAGCATTTAGAGCAACCGCTTCATCCTTCGTGGGAAGCAAGCAAGAAGCGTCAGGAACAAATATCTCAAATTACAGCATTCCAGGGGAAAAAGATTAAATTTGATGATGATTAAACTTTTTTAATGTAAATTCATATTGTTAAAGAAGATTCTTATAGTTCCCCTCTAGTTCGGTATCTACTTTTGAGATGTAACAACTTGTGTTTTGACTGGACTTTTGTGACCCGGGTGTTATAGATTGAAAAGAGAATATTTATCTTCTTGATTGAGATGATACGTGCAAAGTTGTTTGGAAACTAAACCTTTTACAGTATTTGAGAACTAGTGCCTTTTTCAAATCATATTTACATGTTTTTATAAACTAAATAGTATCCTAATCTTGAGAAATCGGTGATGTAGTCTTTTAAGGTTTTTTGGCAGGGAAAAAGCTATTCCAGATTTGTTTATAATGAAGATTGAGCAAATGAAACAATTTGTGCTATATTAGTTGACTAATTGGGATGTCACATAGTATATGGTTAAGAGTTCAGTTCTTTAGTGCCACCACCTGTGAAACCCACAATGAAGTCAGGAAGGGGTTTATGGAGCTATTTTGTGCTCTGTAGTAGTTGGGAGTTTTCCTCTGTGGGGTTTCGCATTATGTAAGGTACACTCCAGAAAACTATTTAAGGACTTCAATATCAGAAGAGATGGGAAGGATAAGTGCTCCTAGCTAAGAAAACGTAGTTAAAATAGTTCATTAAGGCATATGTTTAAAATATCAAAATATTTACTCTTATCTTAGCTGGAAGAAGTTCAGAGCTCTGTTAGCTCTGAAGACATTTGCTAAATTCCATAAATACATGAAGCAAGCAGAAATGCAGATCAGTAGTGTATATGGCAAACTCTAGATAGCAATAAAAACTTGCCATCTAAAAAATGTTCATCTTTCTTGATTAGATCAACAATTTTGATAACTAAAGTACACAGTCGTGAGCATTCCTGTACTGAAAGGAAAATACAGTGTGCCCCACTTAATTTAAATTGCACGTAGTCAGAGAATTAGGATCCCATCCTACTGAGTTCCTAACTACCAGAATCAGTAAGAAGAGTATAAATTTTAAAAGTACCTTCTTATTAAATGCTATTGATTTGTTTGCCAAAGATCTTGGTCTTTTTGATATCCCTAACTGTTGGAAGGGCATTTGACTGTGTTGGATGGTGCAGTCAGTTTAGTGTTCTGGAGTTCCTGGGATCGGGGTGTGGGGAGATGGTTTTTTAACCATATTTTTTTTCTTTAAAGATCTTTCATATTAGTTAGTTTTAAAAGATCTATGAACTTAATTGTAACTGTCTCTTCCTCGTTGTGGTTTAATTGAATGCTACTGTCCTTTATACAATTGAGCTGAATCAATTCCATAAAACATATACACAGTTAATAATATGGATATTCTATGCTATGCTTTGCTATCCATACAGCCGGAAGGTTTTTATATCCAAAGTGAAGTTCTCCCTTCCTGAATTATGTTACAGCCATGGAGGAATGTGGATTTCAATTAAGTTTGTGCCCCAGGATGTTTTGATTTTTTTTTTTTATTCCTCATTATATGAAACAGTGGTGTATGTGTGGAGGTGGGGATTTTATACCAGATCACAAGAGTTCAAGGCATCTTCAATAGCAATAGACTCTTGTAAAAGTAATCTTGTACTAGGTAAGCAGCCAGTGGCTATACATAGGAACTACATTCATTGTATTTTGAACTTGTGTTTATCTTCAAGGAAAATCATGTTTTGAAGAAAAAGTCATCCTCTTGAAAGCAATATCTAGAATACTGTTTTACATATTCTAGACAAGAAACTTTTCTAAAGGCTTAGTACTAGTCCAAACAAATATTTGATGTGCAATTTTCCTGGTTTCAATAAAGGGCAGGAAACTTTTTCTCTTTTTGTTAGCTGTAATCCTGTTATAAAAAATTTCTTCATAGACAGCTAATCTTTTCTGAATAGGTGAAAGTTTCCAATTTTGAGAAATGACTGATATCCATGGTCAAATAATTTAAAAAACAAACTTATAAACTTAAAAACATAAGAAAAATGTAGATCATGTACAATATATAGCTAGTTTTTAAAAGTTTATATCCTGAAGTCTCTCTTTACATGTCCTTAGAGTGCCAGGACCATTTAGTTTTTCTTGGCAGTTAAGAATGCAGGAAGAGATTTTGTTATAGCTATAATTTATAACCTTAAGTGTGCTCCTGGGGGTATCTGAAACATCAGAGCTTCCTTTTTTGCAAAATCACCTTTTAATTCTTCATGAGCTTCACAGGAAGGCCTTGATCAGAGAAATCCAACCATTATTCCACATTCTGATGCTCAGTTACTGTAACTTTGAGGGATGGAGCGGAAGGGTAATCTGAGAGTGACAGATCCTTTTTTATTACCATCCATATGGCTTATGGGTTATTGCTACTTAGGTTGTGCTTGGAGGCCATACCCATGCCGGGTCCCCAGTGTTCTAGGCACTGTACTATAGAGAGCTTTATTTTATTGTATTCGTGCAAGAGAACAACTCTTTCGAACTGAGGAGCCTAGTGAATTTATCTGAAGTTTAACACTGAGTTCACAGGAGTTTCTGTTCAGAAAATAACATACAAAGTAAGTATACATTTTGTTAAAATGATTTGTATCTCTTTCTGTGTTATTCTGTGGTAAACCTATGGCCAAATGAACCCAAAAATGTGTAAGGGCCTACATATTTCCTCTGGTTTTAATAATGATTAGTATACTGAAAAGACATTTCTTTGGGTGTGAACATTAGATGACTGGCAACTCCTAACAAGCTGTAGCAAGGTGCACAGTTCAAAATAAAATCACTGTTTAGTACTGTGCACAGAAGAGATACTCTATCTCAGTACATATTATCCGACAATTACTAAACTGCAATTCAGGTTGTAAATATGTATCAGTAGCTGAAAGTGAAAATATCTTAATAGATCGCACAATTCTTTAAAAAAAAATTGATGGAAAATCAAGAAACTTAAATTTACTTTAAAACATTATGGAAATGCTGATATTGCTATCCCCATTTTAAAGATTTGAAAACTGAGACAGATATAGTAAATTATGTTGTCTATGAATTTAGTTATGGAATTAGATATGGTATCAAGAGAGGGCCTGATCCAAAGCCCATTGCAGTCACTGGGAGTCTTTCCTGTGACTTAAATGGGCTTTGGATCAGACCTATAGGTTCTAACTCTAGATCTGTCATTGACTTACTCTTTGTCAGGCAAATCACTGAAACTGAAGATGAGGTCCAGTGTAGGCAGGTGGCATGTGCACTGTGTTTTGATGCATATATGGAACCAGGAGGAGTGCCTTTTCCAATAAATAATTCTGAGTATATTTCCTAGTCTTATCCAGACTGGGTACCTGAAGTCACATGGAGTGTTAGACACACAGTATTGTGTTTTGGGCTCGAGGCATGCAGTCGGCAAGAGGCCATGCCTACATTGGTATTAAATTGGTTTGCAATTTCTAACTGAAATGTATTAGAGTGTATTGTGTTTATCACCCAAAGTGGAAAAAGCCCTATCACTGGGATAATTTTAAAGCTGGATTGAAGAAACACTGCTGTAGGGAAAAATCCTGCAGTGGCCTTATGGGCTTGAAAAGACCCATTAGGTCATTTTGACTGTCTCCACTTCTGTGATATCCAGCATGACAGAGAAACACATTAACTGGATATTTCTGCTAAAGATATTGAGTGAAATAGTTAACAAAGTGGACATTTAAATGTGTTCACCTTTATACTTCTGCATTAACTCCTCAGACCTTTATACTTCTGCATTAACTCCTTAGATGAATGGGAGGCACTACACACCTCAGGATACATCTATACTGCACATTCCTTTCAGTGGTGTGCAAAGTACTTACACTACACACACTCCTAACACAGGTATAAATAACAGTTGATTGTAAGTAAAGGTATGCCTGAACCATGTGGGTATGGGGCTCTCTATTCACTCAAGCAGTGCCTACCTGTCAACAATACTATTTTTTATCAATATACAGGTTTCAGAGTGGTAGCCGTGTTAGTCTGTATCAGCAAAAATGAGGAGTACTTGTGGCACCTTAGAGACTAACAAATTTATTTGGGCATAAGCTTTCGTGGGCTAAAACCCACTTCATCAGACGCATTGTTTTATCAATATAAGGTCCTGCTGATGGAGCCACTGTGCACCACAAGGAAAGACTCCTAAAGCAGGGAGCTGCCGGAATCTTTCCTCGTAGAGGGGAAAGGCTCTGGCAGCTCTCCGCCACTGGCCAGCAGCTCCCTGCTGTAGGAGCTGCTAGAGCCATTCCCTGCCACAGTGGAAGGCTGCTGCAACAGGGAAAGACTCTGGTGTGGGAAGGCAGTGGGGAAAGGCTCTGGGAGCTCTCTGCTGTCAAGCATTTTCCTGCTGCCTCCCCCTTGCCAGAGGATTTCATTTTCATGCTACATGCTGCAGCGTGGACCACCCTGCTTTTCACTGTGGCTTGTAGCTATACACCCTACACACCACCACAAGAGGTGCAGTGTAGACATAGCCTTAGTCTATTGATTCAGGCAGTGTACAGAACTGGGAAGACAACATAACATTCGTTCATATTTAGAAGGTAAACCATACGGCTTAAAAATGTGTTTCTATGAAAATTGAAATTCTGAAGGAACTGCGGGATGGCTAGAGATGTGCCATTACATCTCTCTGGCTTACATGGAGCCAGGCGTGTTAGAGGGTCTAAGCCCACTCATTTCCTTGTGGTATCTGTTCTTTGGAATGAATTCTTCAAACTGGTTTCTAGGCTCATGCTCTATTTCCTCTGGTGCTCTGGTTAGATGATTGCTAACAGTGTGTCCTTAGTACAGTGTGAATGTTGATCTAGCTGTAGGATAGATCATCTCACCATTCCTATATTGTTAGGCATTAGTGTAATGTACTTTCATGTGTTGTTTCGATGTGGTAATTTAGCTTTGGTTTCCGCTTTCTATTTTGTTTCACATCAGAATTACCCAAGTCAAATGACAAAATACCATATGCTATATTATTGGTATGGTATGTGATATTGGTATGTGGTTCCACAAAGCATATCTTCTCCAAGTAACAGAACATCATTGTATCTAAATAGTGTCTCTTATTCAATTCTATTTTCCTTGATACTCTAAAAAGACAGATTGAGAATTACTATAGAAATAAATAATGTGGCGGCTCGGGCTTTCAAAACAGACAGAGCACAAAACAAGTTTTTAATCCTAAATGAAATATCTTTCATCATGGCCTAAAGGTCACTTTGGATTTGACTGGCTTCCAGGGAGAGCAAATTCCAAATGGGGCCCTCATTTTGTTTATGCTTCTGCCTCTGAACGTGGAGTGTTTAGGCTTGGGTTCTGGCAGCAAGCACTTCCCAACAGGATTTGTTACAAGGAAGATGTTGCAGGAGCCCCTTCTTAAAATTTTGGCCAAAATGAAGGGAAAGTTGGATTTTCCCTGCTTCTTATTGAGTTCACACCCTTTCTTAATGCTGTGAAACCATCTCTGCCCAGATGAACTAAGTCTGGGCTTAGGAAATACTTCTTGAAGAGCAATTTTCTTTTTATTCGTTTACAGTGAATGACAGGCATTTCCAAAATATTTGCAGAGGGGAAGATACCAGGAAACACTAAAGGTATGACTACACAGCATTTTGGAGTGAGCGCAAGCTAGCGCTCTAAAAACAGCTGTAGAGACAGTGCTTTGAGGTTGTGGCTTGGGCTGGAGCTCAGGCTCAGAGGCCTGAGACTTCCTCCAAAATGTTGTGTGGACATACTAGAAGACCTTTACTTCCTCCTCCTCCTCCTCCTAATACATAAGTTAAATGTGGTATGGTATCACTATACACTGTACATTTTTTTCAGGCATTTGCCATGTAACATCACTTGCCAAACAAGTATTGACTGCTTCCTTTTTTGTGGCTAGAAGAAAGCATTTGTGGGTAAAATAAATTCCCAGTCCCTCACGCCGCCTCTTTTTGTGGGCACATGCACCCCTGAGACACAAAAGTTAGCACAGGCCCAAGCACTTCATGGGATCACCTTATTAAAACATTCACACATTTCACTAATCCCAGCTGGCTTAATTGCCATGAGATATAGGGCTATCTCAGACAGTTGGGTCCCAGAGTATTCAGAGTTTTAAAGATCTACACCCAAAAGTGAATTTAGAACCCAGAACTAAGATTTATAAACATGTTATGTATTTGTGCTAGATTCTTGTGTATTATAGGCAGAGTTGATATTGCTGCTGGTTGCCTGGCACTTCCCATTATAAGACTTATAAGGTGCTTATAACTTTGCCAAACTTTAATCGTTCCCATTTTGACGCAAATATAGCCTCAGCCAAGCGCCACTGGAGACAATGAAGAGACTCCAGTTGACCTCGGTGACAAAGGGATCAGGCCCATGTTGAACTCAGGTGCAGCAGGATAGACAGTGTGAACACTTGAAACATTTTATTCAAGTCATTTTCACATAAACTTGCAACCATAATACAGGCAATGTAACTCAAGAATATGAAAGTGCAATGAAGAATACAAAGCTAGTGTCTGAATATTATAAATAAAAGCTCTTCAAATAAAGATAGAGATTTTAAAATTAAGATTCTTGGAAAACAGTGAAGGAAACATTGAAAACTCCTTCAAGAAATTGCAAAAACAAGTGGCATTTCACTGAATTTGTAGCATTTAGTTGCTAAAACAACAACAAAAAATAACCTCCTATTAGCATACACTTCTTGGTTTTAATTCAAGTTATTACAGCACCTTTTTTTAATCTGGGGAATGTGAAAAGACCATATATATTTGGCATAATGTGAGGCACAGGATAGACCACTTTCAATATCTTATGAATGAAAATAAACCTTTTGGTATGAACAGATACAACTAAAAAAACAGATATGTAAAAGGACTATGAAGGTAAATTTGGTGAATGCACCATTCAATACTACATAGTAAACTTTGGTGTGCAACATAAAAATATCATCTACATGATCTGTTGGTTCAACTGATGACCAATCTCTCATTCTTTTAATACTTTTGTCTAGAAATATGCACCTATTATCAAACATGTATTTCAAGATTTTACAAATATAGCAAAGCCCTCTTGTAATGTGTCTGTTGCATGGGAATGTTCCTTATGTGCACCATTTCTCTAAAGACCTGAAATGTCGGAGGTAATTGCTTCATGCACACACTAACATTTTCAACGGAAATTTGAAACTGCAAGAGAAGCATTTCTGTACTTCTGAAATTTTGCAAACTCTTGGACTGATCTTACACTCTTTGAGATCAAGGGCAAAGCTCCTTTTCAAAGACTGCAGGAACAGGCCCAAAGCCTATTAAAAATGATTACACAATAAAATTTGTTTTATAAAATAAACTCTTACATCAAAACAATGTATAAAGATTTCCTACAAAAAAAGCAAGCATTCCCTTAAATATATTGCAGCATGTAAAAAGTAGGCTTCAGGTACCTGGGTCAAACCTGCAGTGACCAAGATATTGAGCATTATGGCCAGCACTCCTCCATTTATTAACATTAGCTCATAAGCTATTTAAATCAACTTTTCTCTACTCCTGCATTATAGCTCAGCAGGATTAGTTAAGGACAGATTGTATTAATTTTTCCAACTTTAATGCTGACGTTCCTAGCTTTTGTTGATTTAAGTAAGACCATTCATGTATTCTTGAACAGTGAGCAAATTTCATTTATTTTCCCATTGTTTAAAACGTCTTAAAACTTGTACAGTATTTAGCTAAAGAAAAGAAATTCCATTGTCTTATCAGATCAACATGTAAAATGTGTTCATTTACCAATGAAGGTATCTATGGAGCCCTAACAATCTATCATGTCAATGAGTAATTAAAGATTCTTAAATCACTGGATCATTTGGCAGCCCAAGCATCAGCACTAAAGGCCAGAATGTGTCTTCCTACAGGAGAGCCAAAGATACTCAGTAAACTCCCTTTTTAAACTTCCACAATTTTTGAGGTAAGTAGAGGGTGTGGCTCTCCAACCCTGCAGATGCCCGCAAAACTACAGGAAAATCCCACAGATCTCAGGGCATCTACAGAGTAAACACCCCCAGAACTACTCTTAGAACACCACACCTCAGAGTGCCTCCTGGCTGCACAGCTCCTGGCTAATGGCTGATCCTAAATGTGCTGTGCCCCAACAGTTTTCAGAGTCCAGCTCTACAGAACAAGGCTTGCGGGACTTGTGCTATGGTATTAAAAATAGTAGTGTAAACGTGCCAGCTTGGGCTCTGAGAATCACTCCCCTCACCAGGTTTCAAACCCTGAGCTCCAGCCCAAACGGGAACATCTACCCTGCTATTTTTAGCTCTGTAGCCCCAGCCGAGGTCTGGAGACCTGAACTCTGAGACTTGCTGCAGTCGGTACATGTTTGCAGTGTA